CGGTCCCGCCTCCCGGCCAATCCCAGCTCGGTCCGCCCCCTTGGCTCGCTTCTCCCGCCCCTGCCGTCATTTCCCACCAATGAGGCACCGGGGCGAGTAAAGAGGGGCCCGCCCCCTCGCTTTCGCGTTCGTTTCTTTCGGCGCTCTCCCCTCGGAACGTTCTGCGCCCGCCCCCTCCCCGCCTCGGGAACCAATCAGAGCTTTCCGCTCCCGCCCCGCGTGGAGCCCGTTGCACGTGGAGTCCGATGATGTCACCTCTGGGCAGCCAGGCCGTTCCTTCTCCAGTAACGCAGCTGGGAAACGTTCCTTTCTGAGAGCACGCAGCTTCCACCCGCCAAAGTGGCCCCTGGGGATCCTGGAATCTCCCCCCCTCCAAAAAAAGAACTTTTCTGCTTGCGCGTCGGGGAGCGGAATCATCTCTGTGGAAGCCCAAGCGTCCCTTTTCGTGCTGGGATCAAGTAACGACTCTGTCCCCGTTCCTAACGTTTCAGTAACGCCACTTTTGACACCTGAAGCTGAGCCCCATAAACAGAGAAAAAAAGGGGGGGCGGGAAGGGCGAGCTGAGGTCACTCCCTGATAGGGAAAACGTTGAGCAGCGATAACGGAGAGAGAGAAAAGGTGGGGCTGGCGTTGCAAATCAGAGCCGAGCCCAGGGCGGAGCAGCCGCCTGAACAAACAAGGCCTTTTTTTAAAAAAAGGGGGTTGTTATGATTTGCAAGGAAAGGGTGGCGTGAAGGCAGGCGTTGGTCCTGCCGAGCAGCAGCAATAACCTCCCCCCAGCCTGGGAGCCCCGATCTGTGGAAACCTGGAGCCGAGAGGAAGCTACTCGGAGGCCCAAATGCTCAGAAAAAGCGTCATTCCGGGGAGAAAGAAAGTTTGCGGGGCGATACAGTTGCTGAGGTGGCAACAGTAACGACGTAAAAGGAAGTGCAAACGAAAACAAGGTTTCTTTCCCCCTCCAAAACCAAGTGTATCCAATAAAAGGGGTTTGAGAAAAAAGGAATTCTGTAATACTCTTCCAGAATTAACAAAGATGAATGATAAACAATAGGTTGGCAGATTGAAGAAAGATTTACAAGGCTTATAAATATGTAATTGTATAGAAAAGCAAAAGCCTTTATAACGAAGAGTTAAGAAATAGGAACAAAACGACAGAATTGCCAAGTCCCTAATTTACCAGATATGTACAGTAGTTATATAAAGATTGCAGAGACGGCTAAAAATATGCTGGAAAATTTAGAGGTTTATGGTACTTCTAGTCCCACATCCATAATGAACCTTATTAAACAATTAAGCAAGTTAAGTTTAAATAATGAGAACTGTGAACAACATATAACTACTTAAGCATCACAGTTTACAAATAGGTTTTGAAATGACAGATGACTTAAAGGATTTTTTTTTCTATCACTTGGGAGATAGTTTCGAGGCATTCATCTTTAAACACTGCTCAAAAGTCAAATTTTCAAGAAACTGAGAGGAACTTGAGAGAACAATTGTAAAGATCAAGAGAATTCAGAGAAAAATGAAGCTAGTTACCTCAAACATGACAGTTATAAGCCAGGCACAAAACAAAATAAGACACAAAGGTGTTACAACAGTGGTAAAATTAGTCAGCTTTGGAAAGACTGTATAATTTAAGCAAAAATAAATATTTTAATTGTGCATAAGCAAGAAAAAGACAAGCTATAAACAAAGACAAACCAAAAGACACTAACAAACAAAAACAAAAAAAGGTTTTCTGTTTTATGAATCCTCAAAAAGTTTACAAATATGTTATTTTTAGCTTGTGGACAGTTACCGTATTCAGCAAATCAAGTATTTTAAATATCTTGGAGAAGGTGAATTCAATACAGTAATATGAGAACAGCTAATGGTCAGTATATGAAGGTGAAAAATAAAAGGCTCAGTAATTTTAAACTGCAGAACAAAAGATGACTTAGAAGAATGTACTGTGAGTGACATACAATATATTCCTTAACTTAGCTGTAATTTATTGAGTTTCTGCTCTAGATAAAAAAGGATTTACAGTAATTTTTGAGAACGGAAAATGTTCAGTACAGAAAATGGCAAAGTTTATGTTGAAGTGCCAATGAAACATGGTTTTATAAACTGAAAATACTAAATGAACAAGGGCAAATTAATATAGCACAAGATAAAAATGAAAGTTTAGAATGATGGCAAAAGAAGCTACGTCATGTAAATGACGAAACTGAATTAAAGGACATTTCCAAACCAGAGAACTGAGCAAAAAAGGGAGTTCCACGCAGGCATTGGATAATGTAAAAACAGGTTTATTCTAAATTACTTTCACAACAGTGAAAATTAGTGAATTAACAACGGTGTTGCACAGTGGTGCCCTCTTCTGCTGGCCACAGACCGAGTGCAATCTGAAGAATACATGATTGGGAAGGGAAGAAATAATACAAGACAGAAAGCACAGCTGGGGACAGGCAGAGCGGGAAGTCAGGCCAACAAGAAAGGCAAAGTCTGCGTCCATGTCCATCAGGAAAAGGTGCCAGGCTAATCCAAGGAAAGAAAAACAGTCCCGGGGGCCCATCAAGGACCGATGAGCTTACAACCTCTGCCGTAAGCCATGGCAACCTCCCCATCTCAGAAGCCCTGTTGGGTCTGTGGAAACATACACTTAAATAAAAGAGTTCATCTTTAAGAGGCCCCCAGGATCCTTAAAGATGAAAACTGAGCGGTCGGACTTTGAGACTTTAGACTGTCACGTACACAGGCCATGTTCCTGATGGGGGCGGCTGGCACCAAGACAGCAAGATGGTCTGCCAGGCAGGCCCGTCCCCTTGTGCCATCCTTGTTCCCTTTCAAGACAGCAGCTGAGAAAGGTACACCACTCGGGATTGAAAGAAGACATCAAAGCACAACCATCCGCTTTGACATCCTTGCAAGTCAGTGAAAACTGAACTTCTTACACTTCTTTTCCGGTCGCTACTGATTGAATTTTATTTATTTATTTATTAAAGAAGGATTTCATTGAGCTGCTTTCAAGACCCTTTTTCAAAGAACAGTTTTATTTCCACTGTGCTCAATTTCTAAAGAGAAGGAAAAATGCAAGGTGTCCCTTATATTTCAAGAGCTGCACCTTCAGTGTCCCTTTATCAACAACAGGTGGCAAAACTCATCCGGGTTGCACATAGGATCCATCTAAGGCGCGTTCCTTTAACTTGACTTTGGGAGCCACTTTTCTACTTATAGGGAAGTCGAAATGAGGCCACCCAGTTCAGGCAGCCTCTTTGATTCATGAATCCGGCAGATTCAGCAGCAAATCATTTTTTATTTTATTTATTTGTTTAAACTTATACCCTTGTCCATTTAGTGGGCAAGCCACTACTCTGAGTGGCTTCCCAAAAATAACAAGAATATACAAACAAGAGTTTTAAAAGTGAACATATCAGAACCAACACCCTCAGTCTGGGAAGAATCCTAGACTAAGAGAAGAGTGAACCATGGGCCGACATAAATTGATTACAAAATAATTTCCCAAAGGGACAAGGCCTGGATTAAAAAAACACACACACACCAGTTTTAAACTTGCTTTTAACTAGCTCAGGCGAATGGGGGCCTCCGCGGGAAAAAAGTTCCAGAGTGGGGTGACCACTACCAAGAGGGCCTAATTTCTAGTTGATGACTTCCAGGTCTCTTTTAGAGCGGCCACTGCCACATCAAAGACTGGGAGGTGCCGCTGGGACAGGAGGATGACCGGAGGGAGAGGCGCTCTGACATTTTCAAGCAACCTGCCTCCTTTCCTACTCCCCAGAGAAGAACCCCTTCCATGCACAGCTCCCAAAACCTCTTTCTCCTTTAGTCCGAAGCCCAGGAGGACATTCGCCACAGAGCTTCTGAAGCGACCAGGAGCCTGGCGCCCACCCATCTCAACAGGCCTTGTGCAGGAGAACGTTCTGCTGGACTGCGCACGACTGACGCAGCCTTTGAAAAGGACATCTTTGGTCATCTGACAACCCTCCTTCACTGAGGTCCAGTTGACTAGAAGTCCAGGAATAAGCAGAAACCTCCCTACATGTCCTAAGAGAAATCTGTGTTGGTATTCCCTCTGGTTAAACAAAACAAAACAAAACAAATGTAATCAGGGGTGGGTTGCAGAATACACAAAGAGATAATACCCACACACCTTTCTCCTTCAGGACTCCTAGTCAGACTGTCCCGAAATGTGGAAAAACCTCTTTGTGGAGATCTATGCCAGGAAGGAGAGAGAGAGAGAGGTGTAAATGACTCAAGCGGCCAGCTTGTATCTGTCTAAATGAAGACTGCAAGGCTGGTGCCCAAATGTCAGAGGGAAAAAACACTGATCAACAAGGACGTGTGCGGCATCACAGCCATCCCAGAGATGACTCTAGTATCCGCCAGGCCCATCTCAACCCTGAGAGGACCAAACCAGCCATGTCTGTTTCCAGTAGGTTTGGGTATTTTATCATATTACTCTATTTGATCAGAGGTCCTCTTATTCCTGTGATCACTGAGCAGGGTGAATGTGTCCCAGGACAGTATTCCACTTTCGTGTCAGCCAGGCGAGTAGCAGGAACAGACCCTGCCCAAAGTGGAAGCACCTTCATCTAAAATGATCTGCAGATGAAGAGAGATGTTCACAGAAGAGGTTTACAGGAGCAGGTGTGGTTGACTGCTTCTGGTTAACAGGCTTCTGTTCCTCGGGTGGGGTTGGGACAAAAAAACCACCACAGGCCCACGGGAAGCGTTCTCCTTCCCAACCACCGCAGAGTCTTCCCTCCAGGGCCGGCACCGGTCGTCGCTGCTTGGCACGTGGTTTTTTCAAACACCTCCTCCCAGAAGTGTGGAGCTCAAAGCTAGGGCCACAGTTTGAGGTTGGAGACCTGTGGCATGAGACAGGGCTGGACCTCAACTGGCGTTAAAGCACACCTTTAATTCCATACCTTTAGTGAAAGAAAGCCAAAATTCCTCCTCACACCGTGGCTTCCGGGAGCCAACCGTCAGCTTTGGAATCGGACATCTAAGAGGCTCGCACCGGGACAGGGAGAAGAAGCAGTCTGTGCCTAGTCCGGAGCCTCACAAGCCGTGGTACAATCCAGGAGATGGAGCCACGTTAAGCGATCAAGAGCCAGAACATGATCACCAGAGCCACAAACAGGAAGAGACGGGACAGAAACTGTTCGTCTACATACTGGGGAGTCCCTGGAACAGCTGGGGAGACAGAAAGGAAGAGAAACCACCGTTGCTGCCTTCTCTTCAGCAAACCTAAGCTGAACCCTGGGTGTATTTTCAGACCCAAAGGCACAACCGTGGAATCCATGCACAAGAAATGACTTTCCTACCCACTTAGAAAGGAAAGTTCCCCCAACCTGGACTGCTGACTTCCCTCCAAAAATCTTTTTTTTCTTTTCAATGAAAGGAAGACTATTTTGTCCTTAGAAGCCTCCACAACAAAGGAGACTTCTATAAAACAAGCCACACCCGTCGATACCCTGTTTTAGCCTTTCAACCTTTTTTTGTGGGGGAGACACAGGAAATGCTTTGAATCCCAAAGTGGATAGTGGTGCTGGCTGAGTTAACAGTCTGACTCTCCCGCTAGGTGGTTGTTGGTGGCGTTAAGCCGAAGTCCTCCTGACGTACCTGGGGGAGGCCGGCCGTCGTTAATGTTGAAGGCTGTTGCAAATATACCGAAAGGAAAGGCTCCAATTCCAAACGACATCTGGAAGCCTCCATCACCAAATCCAAAGCCCTGGAAACCCTGCAATGAAATAAAACCACCAAAAAAGGCAGTGGATAAGGCGCACTGGGCGTGATGGCTTTTAGAGCGGAATGCTGTCCTGGGATACATTCTCAAAAGACAATTCCAGGTGGTTGGGCACCACGTGGAGGAAATAAAACCCTTCTCAGCAACTGAGAGCAGAAATTCCCTTCTTCCAAGGGTACAGTATCAGTCATCCTCTTTAGTTCTGCATCAGAGATGCCTGATCGTTCCTTAAGACAGGAGGGAGGAGGAATTCCTGCTCTTTAGGAAGGCTCTCTTTGTCTCTCTGCATCCTTTTAGCTTACAAAGCAGACTAAGAAAAGGGACTTTATCAAAAGCGCAGAGACAGGTCTGGGGTCACTTTTTTCTCAGGTCTGGGGTCACTTTGACCAACGGAGGTGTCAGAGAAGGGGCGCATTTTACGTTCCTGGCTGAACATACCAGACTAAGATCTGGATTAGATTCAGGTGGCCAAGAAGTGAGAATTAAGGGAACACCCACAATCAACTCCCTTTCAGGAGGGGGTGGGATGCAAGGGTGGCCTTTCCTACAGGCATTTCAGCAAGAACAATGGGGGCCTGAAATGGCCTCTCTGGCTTCAGCAGCGGATTCAATAAGGCGCCAGCTCTCCGGGGAGCAGAAGAAGAGAAGCCATCCTTAATTGCACCCAGGAGAGCTGTTTGGTTGAAGCAACAAGGCCCATGGGCAGACTCTGGAGGCTGACAGGGAAATATGCAATTATTTCATCAGGTCCGGCTCACTCTCTGCCCTTTCACCAAACAGGGAAAAAAGGGGCTGCTGCCGTGGCCACAGGGAGGTGGTCGTTATTTACAACCCCAGTCCCTCGGCAGGCACTTGGTTTACACTCACCTGGCCACACTCCCACCATAAACATGACATAGACATGTCCAGAGGGTTTCAACATCCACCTTACAAAATCCTAGGAGCACAGAGCCAAGTTATTCCTACTGGAAGACTGGCTCGAACAGGAGCCGTGTCTCCAGCGTTTCTCCATCTCTCCGAGGCATTGTTCGCCCCAGGTTCCCAGAAAGCGAAGAGGACGGCAGCTTCCTTGACGAGACTGAAGTCAGGCTTTAATGACTCTGGGAGGGAGTGAAAGAGGTCCCAGACGGCAGCTTCCTTGACGAGACTGAAGTCGGGCTGAAATGACTCTGGGAGGGAGCGAAAGAGGTCCCACGGAGAGGAAAGAGGGGCAAGCCTCACCCCCCACCCACCCCCCAGGAAAGGCCTTCCGGCAAGCGGCAACGGCTCTTTCTCATTCCACAAGGATCAGCATCCTGCCCTTTTTTGCTCAGTATTTTTGAGACAAGAGGTGGCTTTGCCCAGTCTGTGAACTATAACTTACTCACCCCTCTGTTTTCTGGTTCAGGTCTCTGGCCCTGAGGTCGCGGCGGTGTTTTCTCTCTGCAAGTTTAAATTAATTTATCAATTGACTTAGTACAAGGAATTGATTAACTCTTTCCCGCCCATTGGAGTACGTCTAGAGGAGGATGGCCAAGTTGGGTCAAGGCTCTGGAAAGCACACCTTGTTAAGAAACGGCAGAGAGAGTCGAGTATGGTTGTTGTGGGTTTTTCAGGCTCTTTGTGTATGTTTGGAAAAGACTGCAAGGGGGAGCGAATAGCCCATCGTTTGAAGAGATGGCCTACAGAAGATGGAGCAAGCTGGTTTTCTTCTGCTAGGGAGGGACAAGGTAGGGCCAAACCAGTGGATTCAATGACAAAAAAGAGGTTTCCGACTAAATACCCAGAAAAACTCGCTAATGTGAAGTTCAACAGTGGAAGGGAACCGTGCATAAGGATTAGGTGGTTGGATTACGTGGTTCCTTTGCTCCTTCCCAACCTCCTTCCAGAGCCACCCTCTATACAGCCTAAAGGGCAAGTGGCACTACAATCCCTAGCAAGGACCGCACCAGCTCCTCATTTTTGGACATTAGAAACAGGAGGCAAGGCGGGGCTGGGCCAGGCAGCCTTGGGCATAGCGTCCGTGGTCCAGGTGGGCAAAATAAGGTGTCCTGGGGGTACCGGTCTGTGGGCTGGAAATCCCAGAATTCTGCCTGCAGAATTCTTGCAGAATTCTAGGAGGCGGAGGGCCCAAATCACAAATGGCACATCCCTCAACACTCCTCCAGGGGGTTCAGTGAACTGACTGGTGGAACTGGGGCGAGGCGAGGAAGAGGCCACACCAACAGGGTTCGCCTGCCAAAAAGGTCTCACGGAGTCTCCCCACTGCCCTGCACAAAACAATCTGTGCCCTGAATGCTGGTAAACCAGCATTTTGCTTCAAGAAGCCTGAAGTCGTTAAAGCCATTGCCTGAAGACTTATCCCGGCAGAAACATCAGCCCAACAAAATCGGCTTCTGTGAAGTCTGTCCCACGGAGCTTGGGGCTCCCAGAAGGAGAGAGAGAGGAAGGGCTGCAACCACGAGAAGCGGCTTCCGCCCGTCTTACCTGGGGTCCTGCTGGCCGGTGCTGCCCCTTCCGTACAGTGGGATGACTTTATCACGGCTGATGCCTGCTTTACATACAGGACACACTTGCCGGTTTGGCCTGGTCTCTAGCCACTGAGAGAGGGGGAGAAAAACAACAAGAAGGACCACATTGAGGAAGGCAACAGAAAGCCAAGGGAAGAAGACCTTTCATGAACTGCCCAAAACTCCCAAGTGCTACGGGAGGGGTGATGAACCTGCGGCCCTCCGAACACGGTGGGGCTGAAATTCTGAGGAGCTCTGGCCAGGAGGGCAAACCGTTGGCAGTGGTGGAAGCTGCTGTCCAGCAGGACAGGGACGGTAGCCCTGTGCCCTAACTCATCCCAAGGGTCCCCAGATGGGCCCACGACGTACATGGAGCAGTGGTTTGTCTTAGCAAAGAGTTTTTGAGACTCACAGACTCTCTCATTGGCCCAGATGCCAGAAAACCCTTTTCTGGGGTATTCTGGCCCTTCTGAGGTGGGGGGGGGCCACAGGCCATGTTCCCCCTTAGGCCTTTAATGTCAACCCATTCCTCTCTAGCTGGGCTGGAGGCTGGGCATAAGACACATAAGGCTTACCTAGTTCAAAGCAGCCCTTGGTTGAAAATTGTGGCCTCTCTGAGTTTTGCACATGTTGGTAATTCAGTAACCTATTTACCTGCCTAACGGAAACCAACCAGCAGTCGGTGGAAATGGATTGGGGTGTGTGTATTAACAATGGATATTGCAACAGCTGAAGGACAAAAGGCTGCCCTCTCTCATTCAATGGACCGATATTGCCCTTTCTACATTCAAAGGTTGGTCCTATAGATGGCAACTGCACAGGACCACTAATCTGGATGTTTGCTCATCTTTCATTGAAGTTTACGGCTACGTTTTTCAGACATGGAACCTCTTTTCTTTTTAGCAACTGTATTACAAATGAATAAATAACGGCATGTCATTAAGTCAGTTCCACCTTACAGTGACCTGTCTCAAGAGTTGCCGAGATCCAGTACGAGGTCCTTGTAAATGGTTCACCCCCTCGTCTCTGAAAGTGCTCTGAGGCTGTGCGGCTGGCCCCAGGCCATGCCGGCTGGCTACTCTTCCAGGAGGCATGGGGTGTGTGTGGCTGAACTCCTGAACCCCTGCCTCAGCAGCCGGGGGTCCCCAGCTCCCTGAGCTATTCCGCCAGGGCCACAGTCAGGAACTGCATGACTTTTGTTTTATTCCTCCACCACCTTTTTTGTTTGGGAAACCCCCCTCCCTGTTTATGTGCATTTAAACGCGATAAGAAAACCCAAAGAATCTATGGCAACCTAATATTAATGCCGAACTTCCCTATGGAGTTGGCGTGGGACTGTAAAGAAAATGTACACATAACGCTTTTTGCACCCAAAATGTGCTCAGCATCATCCGCACTGATGTTCCTATATTAAACTGTTCCTTCTCACTGCATTACACAGGAGCTTATAGAAATGATCACTTAAAAGCCCTGAAGGCGACCTGCACCCAAGGTAGTGGCTTACCAAGGATTGCATCTTAATATTCATTCACCACCTCAGGTTGGCCTCGGGGGATTTGAGGCAGGGTCTCACCGTTTCAGAGAGAGAAGGGATATGGCGCCTTCTCAGAGTCCCCCTTGGGTACCACAAGAGAGGATTGTGCAAGAGAATGATGATGAAAGACCAAGTAAAAAGGAAGCCATCCTTACCTGGTGTAAACAAGGCCAACTGTTGGGATCATCAAACCAATTTGTCCACCGGGCAGGAGGAGAGCAGAGGCAGGATCGCAAGAGGGGGAAAAAGCAGCAGATGGTCAGCATTACAGGTGAGCAAAGTAGGAAGCTGGAATCCAGCCATGCTGGTTTCAGAGTTGTATGCTAGAAGCACCACGTTAGGAAGGGTAGCGGTTAGGAGAGCAGAGGCAGGATCGCAAGAGGGGAAAAAGTAGCAGACGGTCAGCATTACAGGTGTGCAAAGTAGGAAGCTGGAATCTAGCCATGCTGGTTTCAGAGCTGTATGCTGGAAGCACCACGCTAGGAAGGGTAGCGGCCAGACATGGGCTTCGTCTGGTTTAATGGCTTCCCTTCCTGGTTACACAACCTGCCATGTGGGTCACACGGGCGAAAAGGGCAAAGAGAGGCTAAGTAAAACCTCCCCTTGTTTTATAGTTAAAAAGGAGGAGGAGAGAAAGAAACTCAGCCTTCCACAACTGCTTCCTCATAAACCTCTCGGATCGCAGGAAGGAGCAGCCAAAGTGCACGGATCCCAAAGGCGCAACACAGTGAGACTCACGAAGCAGAGGGCTCGAAGCACCCCGCGCAGCCGGACGAGTCTGCCCCCAAGATGTTGGGCTGGCTTCCTCCCTCCCAGACCCATTGCTCAGATCCAGAGAACCCAGCCCTGCTCCAGCAACAGCTCAAACCATCATGTCTGCAAGTCAACCCAGGACAAACCCCACACCCATCCCAGGTTACCACTTGGCAGCTTGGCTGGTGCCTAAATATTTCCACCATCGGGAGCAAGGATTTGCCTTGCTCGACTTTTGACCCCAACGAGGACTTCTGGGCTGATAGCCTAGTAAGCAGGGCAGTTTTTTTAAACCCCTGCACCAATGGGATGACAATGAATGCCCATCCTACCCGTTTCCTCGGCATCTCTGGGGTTCTTATCAGCAACATTCCCCCCCCCAACATTTCCTTTTGTCCCCTACAGAATGCTGAGCCTCCTCGCCTCCTCTTTTTGCTGAGAAATAAAGTCTTCTGCCCAATGGAAGCGGCTGATGCTCACAATCATTAGACGGAGAAAAAAGAAGCTCAGGCCACTTTACTGGGCAAGTACTTGGAAATGGGGACAAAGTCAAAAGCAGAATGATTTCTTCCTCTTCTATATCTTCAGATGTCTTCGCTTTAAATTCAAGCACCCTCGTTTTTAAAAAGGGGGGGGGAAGCACCTGTTCAACTGGGGGATGTAGATGTAATGTGGAGAAATGTCGCTAAAGCATTGTGGCTGCTAACCAAAGTTGTGTCTAAACAGCTTGGGGAATATCTGGAAACCCCTTTCCAACCACAGCCTCGCAAGAGACAGAAACGTTATGAGTCACTGAGGTGTTCCACAAAAATTGGAAAAGGTTGACGGGACGTGGGCGGCAAAGACAGCTCTTGGTTCTACGCTTTTATACTGTTTCTGCAGGGCCTCAAATAACAAAAGGAGGGAGGGGTTCTCTCTCTCTCTCTCTCTCTACCTACCTGAGACCTTGAAGAGCAACTGATTAATCCTGGATCCAAAACAACAAGGGGCTGCCTTGGAAGTAAAGCATGTTCATCTTCCCAGCTAAAAATGTGGCCATTGTGGGCACCGGTTTCTCTGTTCCTTCAGCCTTGCCTGCCTCCAGAATAGGAGAGTCCATGGCTGAACTTCTGCAGGCCCAGGGGTCCATTTCTCCTCCCCCCTCCCCCCCAGTGAGGGACTCTGTCAACATTTGGTGGCACAGTGGCAGCCGCAGGAGGTGGGGAAGCTGAATTCTGAAAGGCTTCTGCTTCGAAGCAAGGTGCAGGAGGAACCGCTGACTTATTTTAAAGCAAGTGCACATTTCTGGGAGAGCAAACCTGCATCCATCAGTGGAGAAGAATAGCCAGATTCTTAATACTAAGTTTCAGACACTTAAGGAAACCACTCGACGTCTCTGAGATAGAAGGCGAATCCCTGACGGAACAAGGAGAGGGCACCAACCAGAAGAGGTGGCCGCACAGGCTGATCACCGCGTCCTTGGCCGTGTCCAAGCAGATGTTGCATTCGAAGGTGCTGTCCTGGCCCCCGCCTTCCCCGTTGCTGCTGCTGTTGCTGCCACTGGGACTGCCCGCGTTGGAGCTCTCCGTGGAAGCGGAAGCCGCTGGCCCTTTGCTGGCCATCCTTGACCCCTGGCCAGGCCCAGGCGAAGACACCCTGGAACAAGCCGAATCCTGCCGTCAGAAAAGGAATAAATTAACTCACAGGACACTCTTCTATCCTGGGGGGGGCTCACCTGATCACAAGGACAGGAAGTCACGGGGGGGGGGAGACTCTGTTCCGCAGAAACAACGGAGTCAAGTTTTTGCACCTGTCCTTGCCAAGAGAAATCTTTGCTTTCACCGCAGCCAACAGAACAGCAAACGGAGCAACGGCCCTCCAGGCCACAGCAAGACCTGGCCTCCCGCCAGAGTTCTTCCCAGGCCACTTCTACCCATGCCCCCCCCAGCCTGCTTTCTGACACCCATGTTCAGCAAGTACAGTTCATGAAGCCTCCTTAAAACTCACTGCTAAGACTCTTCCTCCATTTCCCCCCTTCTGGAATCAATGCCTCTTTCCGCTTGGGTGCAGCCGCGCTAAAGAATGAGGTTACGCTGCATCCAAACCTGCTGCCCAGGTTCTTCAGCTAAGCAGCTTTCCTCCTTCCTGCCCTTTTCTTCCCGTTTATTTGAATAAACAGACTTAACAACCTGTTCTATTTGCTTCTCGTTAGGTGAGCCAAGCATTCTGGCATTCAGCATTTCACACCTTTGAGGACTTCTTGGTCTTTACTCATTTTTGTATTTCTTTGCTGGTCACACTCTTGAGCCATGTGATTCTTAGTATTCTACCATAAAGCCACCATCCCATGTCACAAAATGCACTGCATATTATTATTCCTCCGCTGCCCTTTCCCATATGCCTAGAGCAGCCTATTCCTGGAAGAACCCCAAGGACGGGGTTGACAAGGAGCATGGAAAGCCGATCAGTTACATCCCATTGTATAATGCAGACACTATAGAAGCCTAAACCCAAGGCTAGGCTCAAATGGAATAAAGACTCGGAATTCTTTGCTGAATGGAAAGTCAACCCTGACATAAACGCTATTGTTCCTCCAGGCCTATGAGTCAAGAATGTACAGCCGTTCAAGAGGAGGTTGACTTTTCTACACCCAACTTGTCGGACAGGATGGTCAGTGAATAACTAACCTCCCCCCCTCCCGATACCTAAATCAGTCTTGTGGGCTGTCCAGCAGGCTCTATTGGTGGTGGTGGTGGTGGTGGGAGGTCTCAAGGGGCAAGGCGGAGAGAATAGTTTCTCACTTTTGCCACAGGTATATCCTGCCTTTCAAACAAGTTCAAGGTGGCATATGTGGCCCTTCTTGCCATCACTTTATCCTCACACCAGCCCCGTGAGGTACGCCAGGCTAAGAGAAAATGATGAGTCTGAGGTAGCTTCCTGGCTAAACGGGGACTAAGGCTTTGAACTTAGGAATCCCATTCACCCAGCTGTGCAAACAGATGTACAAAAGTAACTAGACCACAACTATATATATTAACCAACCAACCAACCAAACGCCTTGGAATTTGTTATCTGTGGTTGGTTTTTAGTTCTTTGCACTGCTTGGGTGAACCTACCCTGTGTCTTAAAGGAACTGAAGAGGCAACCTGCCATTTATGAGCCCGGCTCAATCAAGAAGCACTTCTGGGGCACAAACAAAAGGGCAACTCCCCACCTGCAAATGCTAACAAAGGCATACGAGCGATTGCTGACATCTGTCATCCCATCCACCCAGTTGGGGACGTTGAGAAGAAGCTGAAAACAACACCAGGGCCGTTCGCGGGGGGGGAGGGCAAATGACCCACAAGCTTCAGCAGGATTAATCGATCCATTCATCTTTCTTTCTCCTCAGTTCATGGAGGGGGGCGGCAAATGACCCACAAGCTTCAGCAGGATTAATCGATCCATCTTTCTTTCTCCTCAGTTCATGAGCATCTCAATCCTGTTCTGGTGAAGCAGAACATCATTGGAAGGTGGCCACTAAAGGTCTGTCTCTCTTCTTTGCTTTCCAGGATGAAATCTTCCGGGCAGCTTGTGCGGCTAAACCACATTCAAACGAAAATGGGCTATTTCAGGAAGCTCCTCCTCGTGCAGGGGGCTGTGCTTCCAGACTGGCACACACCACGGGCACCTTTTCAGCCTGTTATGCCAACAGGAACTGATCCAGTAAAAGAGAGCCTGCCATGCCAAGGGCAGGAGCTAGCCCAGCTGCCTCTCTCCTGCTCTCCCACCATTCCTACTTTGGCCCCAAAAGCAGCTCATGAGCATCCATCGATTTGGGTCTTCACTTGCATAGCACATCGAAATCATAACTACTTCTGTTACTTGACGTACTGAAAAAACGGTAGGTTTAAGTGAAGCCAACAGAGCATCTTGTGGCCCCTTGAAGGCAACCCTAGGGCATCGGCTTCTGGGGACTGCCGCCTGTTCCTTCCGCAGGGGTGAGTGGCAGGACGCAACATCTTCTGTGAAATAAAGCCTTTTAGTTTTGAAGAGGCCGCAACACTCTTTATTAGCTTTGCTGCAGAAGGCTATAAACTAAGATGCTCACTCAACAAATTCCTATGCAGCCTTAGAAGCCAGAGGAAATGGGAAGGGCAGCCTTTTTCCCAACTCAGCCTCCCACCCTGACCCCGATAGCTCTGGAAGGTTTTCAGGCCACCTAAGGACCTGCACCAGGGAGGGAAAAGGGAGGACGCAGGATCTAGAGCAAGAACACCCACTTTCTCTTCTAGTTCAGAACCCAAAGACAACTTAATTTTAATTCATCAGTTAATCAAGGCAGAATAATTTATTTTGTTTCTGTTCTCACATGTAAGCTGCTAAACAACCAGAGCATTTGAGTTGAGAATCCACCTGCACTTCACTGTTTTAACCACTCAGCAATAACTTACAGTTCACCCTTTTTAACTTCACAAAACCCGGCAGCCAACAGTTTAACTCGTCCTAGTTGTTGGAAGAGAAACCCTCTGTAAAGGAGATTCTCCCACACTGATGCCAACATGCCAAAATCAAGAGAACTGCCCTTATCTGAAAGAGCGGCACCGACCCTTCGGAACATAGGGCTGGGCTCACCAATTCAAGTTTCCCTGCTGCTCAAAAAATTACAAGATGATTTGTTCTCGTAATTAAGTTCCAGCCCATGCAAAGCCAACGCAGGGCGTGCCGAAGGAACAAGCAAGAAGACCTTTTCTTCCACAAGAATATCAGCCTTCAGGGATGTGGGGTGACCGAGGATTTTAGGAGGCCAAATCAGCTCTTCGCCATCTCACTGTCCCCCCTGGGTCTAGCTTACCTGAGGCAGAGCTGGGCCCCTCTGCTCGGTCTCTTGGCACAGATACCCACAAAGAAGTATGTGCAGCAAAGGAAGGGCCCGGCGTCTCTCCTCAGCTCCTGAAAAAAATTCTTCTCTGCACACGGAGCAAGACAACAGACACCTCAGCGACTCCCGACTATTTCATGCCTGCATCCTCAGAGCACGGCAAGCGTGAAAGAGCAGGCTTCTATTTCAACAGGCCTTTTTTCATTCAGTTACATCATTTTGCAGGAGGTTTCCCCAAGGGCTCCTCTGCAACAGGCTAGCAAGCCTTCACACAGGCGCCGCTCTTGAGTTCTGCCGATTTCCAGCATATTGGATACTTCTAGGAAAGTCAATGAGTCTTTTTTGAATTTTTTTTGGGGGGGGGGGAAGAGGCAACAGGCACACAAAACATTTCCAGCTTGACCGTTCTCATGAAGCACCAGACAGCTATGTTATGAGGAATCTACTGGAGCTGTTTTTGGAGAAAGGCAAGAGGGAAAGAGCCAGTGTGATGCAACAGAACACTGAACATGGGGCGCTTAAGTCCCCCTCCAAGTCCCCACTGAGTCTTCTCATGCAGTCTCTCCTCCTTAGCCTGACCTTCTCATAGGGTTGTTAAGAGGATAAAGGGGAAAGAGGAAAGCCCTACAAGTTGCCTATAAATACAACTAATCCACATACATGCCAAATAGAAGCCTTGAAAGGAACCAACTGGGCTGGCAAAATGTTTTGGGCGAGAGTGGCAGAACAAAGTAACTTCAGCAGTTTAACAAAATAAATGCCAACAGAATGTGACTGGAAAAAACCCAGCTAGCTGCTCCCCCAAGCATCAACAATTCTTGATTCAGACACTACAGTATTCGCCTTTTTGCAGATCTGACCATGAGAGGTCTGAAACCCATTTCCAGAAATGCACTCTGTTCACAGATGCACACCATGGCAGAAGGTGACACCACAACCCTGGATGCAGGGGGGTGGGCCAAGGGGAGGGGGCATGCAGCCTTCAAGCCTGCTGTTGGTGACTCCTGGCCCTCCTTGGAAGGAAGGCGCCAGCAGTGGTGAGCCACCTCTTCACCAGGACACAGGGCCCACTGCACACCATTTAACACCCTCCAAACATTTTTTAACACTTGACAACTACACAACAAGAAAACATTTAACATGCATTCTTCCTTTGCACTGAAAAACTAAAGAAAATCTAATATAACCAGTTATATAACATACATGAACTGTTTTCCACATCTGGGGCTATGTAATAGTATATATAATGTATATAATAGTATATATAATATATATAATATAACCAGTTATATAACATACATGAATTGTTTTCCATATCTGGGGCTATGTAACAGTATATATACCTGATGATGAAAGGCCTAAGCAGATTAACTAGGAACGGTACATACTTTGCCAGAGGAGCGGCGTGTCTTTTAGGGAAGCAAACATTTCTGAAACAACCAGTACAGAACTCAGCGGGACTTGAGCAAACATACAACAGATTGCACCGGAAACTGACAGCTATTTGGGGGCATTTAACAGAGAAGACTATTTTGGCAATGATACGAAGAACAAAATCCTGTTTTAATTTAATACACCACATGGTATTTCTTTTATCCTTTTTAGTATTTGTATACTCACCACTGCCAGCTTTAAATACTGCATTTTAATGATATAAGCTGTCCTTCTTTTATCCTTTTTAGTATTTGTATACTGTACTCACCACTGCTGGCTTTAAATACTGCATTTTAATGATATAGGCTGCCCTGGGTCTTTTTTAAGGAGAAAGACGGGGTAAAAATATTTTAAATAAATAAATATGTTAGCTGGTGCTAAAAGAAGCTTCTACCAAGAGACTTCACAAATGTTCTGGTTTTAAAAGGGGCAAATATATAGAAGCACAGATAAAGAACTAAGGACTGTTACTGAAAGAGAGTTATGAATGACATTGAGCAAACAGATTTCAGAGCCATTCAAACATTCTTCAACACCCAGCCTCACCCCACTTAACAGAGTTCCACGTTGGTGCCCAATGCAAAAAGAGGCCCAGAGTAACTCTTACAATGAATGAACCCAAACATCCATAAACAATAAACAAAGGAAATGAAGTTAATGTAAACACTAATAAGAGTACAGCAACAAGATGAAGGCTCTAGGCATTCAGCCACAAGGCAAGAATTAAATCTCAGATATTCTTCTCTAGGAGGAGTGCCAAGAAAGCAACACCCTAGACAGCTGGAACATTGCTAATGTCCCACCACTGCCTGTGGAAATTCAAAGAACTGGGCTACAGTCTGGGAATACTTATGTGAAATAAACTTAATACGAAGTCACCACCTTGTGGGGGCAAGGGACACACCTCTCCCAAGTGATGAAAGCCGGCAGTCTCTACAACAAATAAATTTATTTCAGGAAAATGTTCTTTGAACTTTGGCCTCCCAGGGGAAAAAAAAGACAGTTCTCAAACCCGCCACTGCTACAAGCTTCTCTTTGACAGGCCAGACAGAGAACAGCTCCCTTTTTGCTGATCTCAAGGTCCAGGTTGATACAGGTGGAGGCAGTGTTTGAAATACTGGGAGTCTCCAAGCTATGCAAGGATCTCTAGTTTATCCACAGCACTGGAATATGCCCTGGAAAAAAGCTGGCAATCCATGCCGCAAGAGACGGGGTGAGACGTCTACGCCCCTACTGCTCAGTCCCACAATTTGTCACTGGCTGCCGCTGCCAAACCGTCTCGAGGAGCAGCCCAAAGTACAACACACGGCAGTAACCCTGCGAGAACAACAATGATTCATGTCGAGAACTGATTTCGAAAAGGGGGAAACTCTGAAGAAAACCAGAAGCAAATCTCACGGAAGTTTTCGATCATTCCTTGCTGCCCTGCCTCCAATGGTTTGCCCCCCAGCACCACCGGCTATCTAGAAGCTTCCTCTGAGTACTACTCTGCAGGGAGGTTTACCTTCTACCAGGGATGGGGGACTCGTGTCATGGGGCTCACTGTCAAGTCAGACTTAAGTCACACCAAGCTAACTCGACTTGGAATCAACTTGGGTTGTTTTTTCATGGACACTCTTGTGACTCGGGAGCCTACCCATCCCATCCCTTCTTTTCTGGGGGGGAAAAGCTTGCTTCTATTTTATGTTTTTAATTTTAAAATTTCTATTCTATTAAAAACAAATAATATTAATACTGCCTGTGAATGTTGTAAGATGCCCCCTTATTCACTGTTCATAGTTTTAAATATTGCCTTTTCATGATGTTAACCACCATTCTATACTGGTTATTTCCGACTTCAAATATTGTCTTTCATTATGTGTCAGCTGCCTTGGTTCTTTTTCAAGGAGAAAGGCGGGGTAAAACATATTTTAAATAAACTAAATAAAAGCTTGTTTTTCACAGGGACTCTCACTCAAGGCTTGGTACCACAGACTCGAGTGTGGGACTCGGACCCGAAAACCAGCCACCACCCTTCCCTTTTCCCCCTCTCACAGCCAAGAGCCCCCCACCCAGTCCAACACGGGACCTCAACTTCCACTTTGCATTCAGACGTGCCCTGCCAAGGAGGGGCCAGCAGGAGAGCAGGAAGGCGGCAACGGGCGGCGAGAACAACGACCGACTCTCAGGTCGGCCGGCTCCCTTTTCCCTCTTGGAGGACGTGGCCTTGATCCACCAAAGCTCACGTTCAAATAGAGGAGTTCGTCTTCCAGGCTTTGTTTCGTTTCTGGGGTGGCCCCCGCCCCCACTCTCTCTGACCACCAAACTCAAGAAACCTGCCCCTCAGGACCCACTTTCCCAGAATGGCGGAAAGACACTTGGGGTGGGGGCGCAACTACAAGTCCCAGCATCCCCCCAGCCCAATGCCCCCGGGGTGAGGATGCTGGGGGTTGTAGTCCAAAAAATAAAACGAAGCCCAGTTAATCTATCCCAGTTTTGTTCCCTTCCCGCTCCTTCTTCCTTCTGGACGGGGCGACCGGAGAGGAGGCCGCAGGCAGGCAGGCAGGCAGGCAGGCAGGCAGGCAGGGGCGGGCGGGCTTCTTCCTCCAGACCCGCAGCCTCGGCGTCCCCGCCCGGGAAGGGGCTCCCCCCCTTCCACAGCCCCACCGGGTTCTCTCACCGAGGGCCGCGCCGGGCCTGCTCGCCCACACCTCCTGCGAACCGGGGCTGATGAGCTGTGCCGCCGCCGCTTCTGCTGCCACAACCGCCACGGTCACCTGACCGGCCGTTTCCTTTCCAAGCGCCGGAAGCGGCCGTCCTTCCCGACGCACCAGCTGTCCCCGCCACTAGAGTCCCGCCCGGGCTGCGATAGCACAGGCTAAGAGTTCCGCCGTCAAAAAGTTCCGCTTCCTCCCTCCCGTGGTGGTTATGCATCTAGGTTTAGGGAGTATTGTGAGGATTGCTCACGTCACTCAGCTATTCATATTCATGAGATGATTTGCATGAACCTATGAGGGGGCAGGAGAGGCGGAGTCAGCAGCTGCAGGAGGTTTGGCGGGAGGAGGAGGAGTCCGATAGGGCTGGTGAGTCAGAGAGAGAGAGAGAGAGAAAGGGGGGACAGACCCTGAGAGAGAGAAAAAGCTGGTTAGGCAATTAGATAGAGAAGGTGGTGATGATATAGCATGGCTGGTGAGTCAGAGAGAGAGAGAGAGGGGGGACAGATCCTGAGAGAGGAAAAAGCTGGTTAGGCAATTAGGTAGAGAAGGTGGTAATGAGATAGCAAAAGAAGAAAAGAAGAAGCATGTACTGAGAGGACTGTGGGTGAATTGCTTGTGCATCTGAGAAACCTCTGTTATTATTCCATCCGCTTCACTTCAATAATTAAGTTCTTTTTCTGTTCCCAAGACAAAGTGTTCTGACAAACATCCTTTATATTGTGGATTGAGGAAATCCACGGTGGCAGCGAGAGGAGAACGTGACGTGTGACAGAAGGACACGCAGGGGCCACGAGGGTGAATGTCACAAGGACGCCTATATATTTTATACTGTATTTATACACACAGACACACACACACACTCCATAACCCTAGACATCTATATATGCATTCATTGCCTCTTAGAAGGGGCTTTGGGGGGGAATCACAACTCCCAGCATCCCCTCTCCCCCCCCCCATCCACCAACAGAGCTCCTGCACGCCGCTTGGCTCCGGGACGGTGTGTGTGTGTGGGGGTCCCGTGCTAGATTCAAGGGACCCGCGAAACGCGGACTACAATCCCCAGGATGCTCTGCCGGAGCGCGGCGTGCCTCCGGGACGGGGGGGGGTTTGTGTGTCCCGTGCTAGATTCAAGGGATCCGCGAAACGCGGACTACAATCCCCAGGATGCTCTGCGGGCGGAGGAGGCGACCGACATGGCGGCGCCCAGAAGCCGCACGAGCAGCAGCAGCAGCAGCGGCGGGAGCGGCGAGGAGGAAGGGGAGGAAGCCTTGGCTCGCCTCCGGGAGGCGGCTTGGGACCCGGCGCGGCCATCGGGGGCCGCCCTGCTGAGCCCCACCGCCGGTAGGGAGGGGAGGGAAGGAAGGAAGGAAGGAAGCGGAGCAGCCCCTGCAGCCCCAGCCTTGCCTGGAAGCCCTCCCTGCACGGGACTCCTGCTCCCTTCCTGGGGCCGGGGGGGTCGGTAGGGGGGGATCCTGCCCCCATGGAGCCGTGCAGGGCTACGTAGTTGTTGCAGAGGCTCGGGACTGGCTCTTGAGGAGGAGACAGGGTGCTTCCCTGCCAGGGGTGGCGTCAGGGTTTTCCCCCTCAGATCCTCTCCCACCTCCACCCCCTCCGACTCGGGGACTGCTCGACGGAGCGACTTTTCTGAGCTGCAAAAGCAAAGGGGGGGATTTTAAAAAAGGCGATCAGGTCGAGTAAAATTCCTCAAAACTCTGCAAGCCTTGGAGTCCTCCAGAACGCTTCTCCAGCCAGGCGAAGCGTTCTGGAGAACTCAGAAGCCTGCAGGGTTCCGTGGAATCTTCTATGTCCCTCCTGGCAAAGGCATCGCCCGCCTGTGGGTGTTGGTGTTTTATCTTGTTCCAAGGTGGGGATAAAATCAGGCCACTAACAGGTGCATGGGTCCTCAAAATATAAAAATGCTTTTGCTTTTGTATGGTGGTTTTTGTCAGTGGAAATACAGGCAATCGGCTAAAACAAGCATGGTTGTTCAATGGATATAGTTTTATCTACCAGAATAATTCACAAGATCCTCAGTGAAGAGCAAGTTTGCCTTTACAAATAGGCACAAATAAATTAGATTTAACCATACTTCCATCTTGGGGGCAATTTCTAAATTTGTTTTTCTTTTATTTTTGGAAGGTATCTGTCAGAGGAGCAAAGTTTTATCTGCTGCATCGAGCATCAGGTATCTTTTGCTTCTAAAATTAATTAAATGTCTGCATCCTCATCAGAGCTTTTAGAAGGGGACAACTTATTGGCATTTTCATAAGTATCCTGTATCACAGCACTCCTGGAATTGTATTAGAGATGCAACCTTATCTGGCTATTCTGTCCTTTACAACTTTATAAATCACATTCCTAGTTAGCTGATGTTTCACTAAACTGAATACGCCCCCCAAACAACACACCCAACAATACCAGAATTGTATTATGGTTTACTTAATCTATATCTCTAGAAAGGCACAGTTTCAGAGTGGCTCATAACATTATTAAAAACAAACCGGATACAAATAAAAACATACAAGTCATAATATTGAACCCATTTGAATAAATGCACATATTAAAACGAACATCCAAACTGAAAGCAACTGAAAAGCACATTCCCATAAAGAATAGGCCCCCCAGTACCCCCACCACCCCCCAGTTAAAAGCCCCTTCTTTTGCTCTAAGGCATTGCCTTACATCAGAAGTCCTAAAAATGTTTACACTGCAGTCCTGTGCTGATAATAAGTCCCCGTAGAGTTCAGAGGGTTTATTTCCCAGGTTGGAGTGGATTTCAGTGGATAAACAGCTCTGCTGTTTCAGGGGTCCTCTCCTTCTAAGATTCGGGGAGTTAAAAGGCTCTTGCTTAAGCCTCCATATCTTTTATTGATCAGACTGCATTGCTGATGATGCCTTTAAAGCAGGCGTGCTTCCGATCAGTCCACTGGAACTCTGCTGACACATCACCACAATAAGTGGGGTGACCTCTTTTTTTAACTGCACCAATCAATGTCTTACGTTGGTACAGTGAGATCTTATTCCCTGGTTTTTAAGGCAAGGATGACGGATTACTAATGAGCGTTTGTTCTCCTTCACCATAAACAGAACGAAGATCCAAGACCAGGGTCAGGATGTGAACGAGCTGCAGACCACCCCAGGGTTCCGGGCACACGTTGCAAAAAAATTAGAAGCCCTCTTGGACAGGTAGTAACTTTCTTTTTTCAACAGAAAAGTTACAGCCCTGTTGTGAATTGCAATCCACAAAGGCTTACGCTGAGATATTTCAGTTATTTTTAAAGGTGTCACAAAATATTCTGTGTATACTGTATGTGGTATTTTTATTTCTACCCCAAAAGGAGTGATGTTATCCCTTGTTAGGTTTACAGTCGTGGTGTTATATGTTTATATATAAGTCATGGAGGGAAAATGGAATTCATTCCAAGTAGGTATGTAGTTATTTTACTTAGTTTCCTGCAAACTCTAATGGCTCTCTCTTTCTTTTAGTTCAATCACTACCTTGGAGCGTCCACTACAGACTCGCCAGAAAAATCTGAAAGCCCCAGAGACAGAAGATGACGGTGAGTTCCCCCAACGGCGTCTGTTGACCAGATAGCCCAGACTGCTCTCTTGTTTTGTATACTGAAACCGATGTGCAAGGAACTCGGGGGGGGCGAAGGAGGACCCTCAGAGCCAAAAGCCGGGGCCCAGCCTTGAGGGCGGCCTGCACAAACCTCACGGGGTCCCTCTCTTCTGCTGCAGAAGGACAGCAGCGTGTGAAATGTTGGGTCCTCCGACTTGCTAGTGCTGGGAAGCCTACGGAGCACTGACACCCAGATCTTGTGGAACTTGACCCTTCTGGGAGTTTCCCTTAGGAAAGCCACTTCTCTGAGCCCTGGCCAGCCACGCTTCCTGCCCCTTGGCTGGTCAGCAAAGCCCAGTAGCTTGCCTCTCGAGCCTCCAGCTGCAGAAACTTGGTCTTGGAACCTCTGGGCTGGATGATACACGTTCCTGCTACCCGTCTGGCCTCTGCCCTAAGATCTCCCCCTTTCTCTTTTCTTCTGACACCCTAGGCTTCCGCCTTTTTTCCTCATCCGTCCCCGGAGACTGTGAGAACCCAGAACCTTTGCCCACAGGAAGGAGACGCCCTCGGCCTTCCAGCTCCAGGTGAGATCTTGTTCTGTCGTCTCTGCTAGACAGGCTGGTTTATGTTACGGCCCGTCCTAGGAAGAGGCCTGGCGGGGAAACCTATTTTAATTTTGCACATAGCGTATATAGTCTGTCCTGTTATTATATACCAATCCGACATTTTGAGATTTAAATATCCTTAAATGCATATTTATGGAAGCAATTCCAGGAGGCCACCGTGTCATTCTGTCTCCACCATTATATCCCATGGAGAAGTGGATTTCGATCCACAAAACCTCACACTGAAACAGTTTATTAAGATGCCACAATATTGTATCCTTGTCCCCCTTTTATTTTGCCAGAGTATACATGAAGTCGAATGCTAGCCTTGCAATGTGGCTTGGTATTTAAAAAAAGAAAATTAAATGCTTAGCACATCTGGAAGTCTTCCCATTGTTCAAACTATGTAACGTTGAACAACACCATTGCCCTGTAGCAGAAGCGTCCGTGTTTTGGTGCCCTCCAGTCACCCTTCCTTCCCTCCTTCACTTGTAGCTCTTCTAGTGAGCTGGACAGCAACCAGGAATGGCAGAGGTTTCGGGAAGCGGCCGTAAGCGTGGCCGACATCTTGCAGCAGAGCGGCCTGCCAGGGGTGCTCCCAGGTTCCAGCCGGGACCTCGGTGGCCAGACTGACGAGCCCAGCGGGAAGAAAATCAAGAAGAAAAAGAAGAAGAAGAAAAACAAGCAAGGGGGAGTGAAAGGGGAAGAAGAGGGTAGCGGGGAAGAAGGGACTGTAGAAACAGCCTGTAGCCCCTGCAATGGGATGGACAAGAGAGAAGAGTATGCAGAGATAGTGAAAAAGAAGAAGAAGAAAAAGAAGAAGAAGAAGAAAAAGAAGAAGCCAGCAGAAGCCAGGACTGAATGATGCTCTCACAGCTGTTTGGGGTCAGCGGGAGTTACTGGAAGAGCTTTGGACCATGAGTTCCGTGTCAGAAGAAATCCAGAGGTCAAACTTTGTATTTTGCTGGCTGCAAAGATTGACAGTTTGGTTTGGTGGTTCTCCTCCCGGAAGCCCCCCCCCCAAGGCCTTCCTGTCAAAACCGAGGAGTCCTTTCACAAAGAGCAGCTCTCCTGCTTGGAAGCCGCACATGCCTTGTGCAGGGAGGCTGCCCTCAGGAAAGGCCGGAGAGGATGGATCAAAAGTCCCCCTGAAGGACGACGGTCTTGGAGTCCCGTTGTTTTAAGACCAGAGCAGGCCGGCCCAGTGGGTGATCGGCTGAGCTGCCCGCCAGCTGTGGAGGGTGGCCTGTCGGGTCCCCATGAGAGCAGCCCGCTGTCCCTCCCCAGCCTGCCAGGGCTGTCCCGGGCAAGCCACAACACCAGGCCCTCTTTTTGTGGCCGTAGCTGTCTCTGTGAGAAAGTGGTGTGGGCTGAACCCGGGTCTTTCTCCTTATCTGGCAGCCAGCAGGTGCTCAGCCAACGGCGAAGACGCCGACTTCTGGGGACTCATCATCCCCCCTTCCTTGTCAGGGAACAGACCCTCCTGGCTTTGTGGACAGCCGGATTCTCAGGGAGCCTTGGCACGGCTGTGTTGTGACTCTAAGCAGCTAAAAGCAATCCTGTGTTCCAGAGTTACCTCTGTGCTGTGTCTTTCCCATTCCAAAATTTATTTTTTTAATCATAAAATTTAATCTATCTGTGCTGGCCTCTCTCGATCTTCTTAAATGCAGGCAAATCCCTCTTTCTCTTTGCTTTCCTGGCCCCTTGGTGAACAGACACATATGGGGCAATTGGGGGGGGGACATATAGGCGGTCAGTTTACTCGCTCATAGGAGGTTTGCTTGGCACTTGAGAAAATAAACTCCTTAAAGTCTGGTAAAATAAGTTACCTACCCTTAGGGAGATGCGGGGAGAACATGTGGACAAAATTAAAAACAAAAGCAAATCTGTTTGGCCATAAAACAAACTCTCAAACCCAGGCCTGCCTTCCAGCTTTATTAGGCCAGCCGAGAAGGCACAGAGAGGTGAGTCTTGGGGTGCAGGAGGCAGCTGGCCTAAATCCAGCATCACCCTGAGAGAACTTCCTGCCTTCTGCAGATCCCTCCACTCTTGTGGTGCATTCGTTAAACTGCAGCCCTGCAGTCAAGACTCTGCTCACAACCTGGGTAGCTGGCTCAAGGTTGACTTAGCCTTCCATCCTTCTGAGGTTGGTCAACTGAGGACCCAGCTGGGTGGGATGGGGCAGGGCCATGTGTCGCCTACATCATTAAATGGCAAACCACCCAGCGAGGTGTTTAAGCAACTATTGGGCAGTATCTAAGCAGCAGATTTTGCTTTGCTTTTTCCAGGGAAGGCTGTAATGGGAAGGAGAGGCACTGTTCCACCAGGAAAAAAAAATCTAGTAAAAGATACCGGCCATGATTTTTTTTAAAAAAATTGCTGAGTCACATCTTTTCCTTCTTTGGTTTTTAAAATAACAGTCATGATCCTTAGAATCATTATTTTGCTTCATACTCACCTGTTGAAAAGTTCTGCTGAACCTAACAGCTTTCCCGCTTCCTTTTTCAGCCCTAATATTCCCGGGACCTTGTCCATCATGAATGTTTTCTTTTAGAGCATCATTTTTGCCATTTGCTATAGATAAAAAGGGGGCACTGCCGTTTTGCTTGCTTCAAAAACAGACCACGTACAAGTTTTCCTTGTCGATAAACGTTCCCCTCCTCTGACTTGATTTATTGGAAATTAAATATATTTACAAGATAGAGCAGAGCAGAGACAATTAATTGAGGAGGTGTCCGGTGTGGAATTCTTGGGCAGCTGAGAGCAACCCAAGTGTGCCCAGTGCAGAATGGAATGGTCTTGGATAATGGATAACATTTGCCTTGGAATAACTTTTGCCAGGGAGTAAAAATCAGCAGAAAAAGGTTTGTTCGACTACTTATGATGGTCTTCCATATAACTCAGCTTTCATTTTCCAAGTTTGTGCTTACAGCCCATGGCAGGGATGATTTGCTCCCCTGACATCTGGAATGTAAACTGCTGTGGCTTTATTCTAACAAGAGAAATGTCTCAATTCCCCCTCTTCTCCCTCTCCATTTTTATGGGATGTAGCGGTTGGAGGAACTGAAGACGAAGGTTCAGCTTTCCTCTCACCTGAAAACGCGACACGACAATAAACTGAGTTCTGATATCATCTGGCACATATTGAAGCCAAACTATAAACCCACACCTTCTTTTCCGCCCCGTTGCATTGGGGAACCGTATTCCAAAGAAGCAGCCCTGTTCCTAAGAGTAGGGGGAGGAAATAAGGTGGGGGTAGGGGTCAGGGGGGTGCAAGCACAAATTCTTCCTTATTCGTAGACGCTTCCGTTTCTGGTTGTTGCTAAACAATTTTGCTCACATGCTTTTTATTTTATTTTTTTTAACATTATCCCAAGGACTAGAAACTTGGTTTGATGGTTATTTTTTAAACAGAAGGTGGGCTTCGTAGAATCCAGCATGAACGATCCTACGAAGCAGCCGAGACTCTTATCTGAGGGCTCACAGATTCTGCCTCGGCACTTTCGAGTTCCTCCTTTCGTGTGGAAGTTGGCTTCTGCGTTGAGAGTCTCATCTAAGGAGATTTTGAGAGGGCTGGGGTTTGTTCCTTCCTCGAACGAAGCGGTCAGACACAGCTCCGTCCAAAGCTGTCCACAGTGGCAAAATGGCCCGCTGATCCCTCCAGTTTGTGAGTGAGCCGTTTCCCTGGCCTGCCATGCTTTCTCTGGGGTCTTCGGAAGCCCACCCGACTCATGGTGTCAGACCTCTTGCTTCCTTGGTCAGCCTCCTAGCCGTTTTTTATTTTGGCCGGAGCCATGTGTCCAGGGGTGGCCCACGGATCTGAGCCAGGAAGGGGTCGGCCACGTGGAATGGATCGTCCTGGCAGAGGTCAGCCCTGCAGGCCTCCGATCTGGACTGAAGCTGTTTCTTCCAAGGCTGTGTCCAAAATTATGGTCATGGTTTCTGGCTCTTTCTAACAGGATGAACGTCCTTCCCTTTTGCCACCCGGAAGGACGAGCACACGGTGTGACAGTAGGCCAGAAACGGGGTGGGGGTGGCAGAGGAACACACCTGGAATTCCCAGGATGCTACAGAAGCCACGCCGGTTGTGGAGAGGGGGATTCTTGGAGTTGCAAAGCTCTGCTTTCTGTTGCCCGGTCCCTGCTGTCTTCTCTCCCGTGGGGCAGCAGGGAACAGATCCGGGGCCTCTTCTTGGCTGCCTCCCCCTCTGGCCACCCCACCCTGGCTACGACAGAGGGAAGAACGTGGGCCAACGTTTACTTTTCGTTTGGGCAAGCCTGGTTATTCCCGGCAGAGAAAGCGCCAGCGGCTCCTGGCGGCTTTCCTCCTTGCATTTCCAAAGCGGCTGGCCTGCCTGGGGTTTTCCTTTCAGCTGGAACCTCAACAGCATGGAAGAGGGGATTTGGCAAGGCTGAGGGGTAGAGGGAGGAGGAAGAGGAGGGCACAGAGCAGCACCCTGACCGCCTTCCCTTCCAGGGGCAGCAGGCTCGACATGGGCAGTGAGAGCAGCAACGGGCGCCGCGTGGTGGAATGAGGCTCCTTGGCTGTCCGTTGTCCAGCGGGTTCATTGCGTGGAGGACACCATTTGTGTGGAGATGAAAGTCTCTATCACCCCGTGGCTGGACGGAAGCAGGTGGCTGTGGCTGTTGGTGGGATCAGAACTCTGGTAAAGCACCAGACTGCCGGATGAGACTGTGAGAGAAAAAAAATAAGGGGGGGGGGAAACACATCAGCACATGGCCTGTAAGTTTTATGCATGGCAATGCGCTCACCCCTTGGCTTTCCTCTTGGTCAAAACAGAACATGGGTTTCCCCCTTTTGCCAATTTTATTTATTTAAATTAAATTTTATTCTGCCTTTCTCCTTCAGAAGAACCCAAAGGGTACCAGGCACAGCTCACTCGTTCCTGAACCCTGGGGGCCCTTTTTGATTTCTGGGAAACATGCGTCCCTCCCCTCCTCCCCCTTTCCTCCATCCCCTTGAAAACTCCGGGGTCCCCTGTAAAACTTGGCAAGAGGCCCCAACGGCCGCTTTGACCATAACCGGGAGGACGCTGCAAGCTCTTAGAAGAAAAGAGGAGGGTACAGAGTGAATCGCTGCTGCTCCTCTGGAGCCATATCTCCCCCCCCCCTTACCAGCAGGGCTGGAGGTCAGCCGATGGCTTGGCTGCAGATGCTGGATCCCAGCACTGTCTGGGCTCTGCAGCTGAAGGGTGGACGTCTGCCCTGGCGGGGTGTGAATTCCCGACTCCGTGTGGGTCTCTGCCTCCGACGTGAAGACCTGCAGAAGAGGAGTGGGTTCAGGAGGCTGGTCTCGGACACATCAATTGTGGGAAATGCCGCAAGATTCCCTGACACGGGGTGTGTGTGTGTGTGTCAGAGAATATGCAGCAGTGCTGTCACTGCCACAATTTGGAGGAACTATATTTTTCAGAAAGGGAACAAATTCATGGAAATGAATCACAAAAAGATAACTCTTCTCAGCTAGTTCTAGTTGTTACGGATAAATGGATTGTCCTCTTTTATTCGAAAGCCGTGTTTTCCGTTGCACATCGTGGTTCATAGAAAATGAAGACATTCACCATAATTGTGTCATAATGCTAAGAGAACTCACTGCATGTTCCCTGAAACTTTGGAGAAGTTTCAACGAGAAGATTCAAGAGGACCAAGGTCCCCCAGGTTCAGTGCAAATAATATCAAGGTTAGGCTTGTATTGGGCAACTCATGCTTTATGGCTCTGGGAAGACCTTCAAGGTCAAATTGCAAAATAAAACCCAATCTGCTCAATTGAAATGCATAACTAAATTTTTAAAAGCACCCCAGAAAATCTGCAACGGTCAATTTGTGGAGCTGCCGGATGGAGTGGCTACGTCAGAGGCTTTTGGAAAGAGTCGGCTTAAAAGCCGCGTTCCCTAAGGCCAAGAGGAAATGAATATATATATCCCAATGGTTCCCCCTGGCAAATGGAGCCTTTCCCCGACCCTCCTCCCCACCACCAGCCTCGTCTTCCCTGGCTCTGGCCAACAGAAGTGAGCAGCTGGACCACATCCGATCTTGACTGATTAGGGCTACTAAGCCTGACCCAGCCTGCTCCTCAGTTGGATGGGGAACCACCAAATGACACCAGCGACCTCTGCCTACGGCTCAGAACGGAACCCCAGAGAGCGACCACTGCCGACCAACACCTGGGTCCGACTCGGTAGAAAGCAGCTTCCGACGTTCCTACGAACTTTGGCAAGGGAACCTCTCCAGTCTGTGTCTCTTGCGTTGCCCATGGGGTTGCAACAAGGCGCCATGAGGCTCAAGTGTGTTCCTTGACGCCGGAAGCTGATTCTGGAACGCCGTTAAGCGCCCAGGGCAACCAGGCCAGAGGAACACTTGGGTCTGACTACCTCCGTGGCTTCAGGCTCTGTCCCACCACCCCTGGGGGCGGCCTTTTCCATCCACCCCGGGCCCACCTCTCTTTCCAACCAACCCCCACCCCCGGGCCCCTTCCTCTCACCTGCTTGGTTGGCGTCAGGCTGGCCAGGGCGCTGAGGTTTGCCGTGTCTGTTATCACCATGGTCTGCGGGAGCAGGCTGGTGTGGGCGTACTGTGCCATCTCGGGCTTATGTCCGTACAGAGCTAGAAACAAGGAAGGCCGTGAGGTCATGAACCCTGTGGTGATTCTTAGTTTAAGGGGCTGAGGAGCGCCGGGGAGAATCCCACCTGCTCCAGGGTTGGCTTCCCTTGACTGTATCCCATTCACCTCTCGCACACCTTCCTCCAAGAAGCTCAAGATGAGGCTTTTCATCCTGTCTGCAACCTTTCAGAGTTGAGGCGCCTGTTGCTTTGAAGAATCCTAGAATCATGGAGTTGGAAGGGGCCCATAAAGGCCATCGGGTCCAACCCCCTGATCAAGACAGGAACCCAAGTCCAAGCAGATCAGACAGAGGGTGATCCAGTGTTCTCTTGAAGGCCTCCAGCGCTGGAGCCCTCACCACCTCCTCAGGGCATGGGCTCCATGGTCGTTCTTCTCTAACAGTTATAAAGTTTTTCCTGACATTCAGCCGAAATCTGGTTTCCTGTCCCTTGAGCCCATTATGACGTGTCCTGGACTCTGGGATGATGGAGAACAGATCCTGCCCCTCCCCTGTAGGGTGACCTTTCATGGATTTGAGGTAGTCTCCTTAATGCTAGTTTCTTTTCCCATCAGTGTCCAGGAACATGGAGAAAAATGATTGTTCTAGACCGTTGAGGTAGTCTCCTTAATGCTAGTTTCTTCTCCCATCAGTGTCCAAGCACATGGAGGAAAAAGATTATTCTAGAGCAGTGGTTCCCAACCGTGGGCCCCCAGATGTTCCTGGACTACAATTCCCAGAAGCCTCCACCACTCGCTGTGCTGGCCAGGATTTCTGGGAGTTGTAGTCCAAGAACATCTGGGGACCAACGGTTGGGAACCACTCCCCTAGAAAGCGAAGGAAGGGAACGATTCGGGTGTCTGATGGCATAAAGGAAAAGGGGGCTAGGTATGGAGCATTTGGGTTGGGGGGGAGTGAAAGGAGAAGGGGAATGAATGAGCAGGGCTTTCCCAGATATGTTTGTCTCATTGAAACCAGGCCTTAGAAAATTACTGTACCTCTCAAAAACCATTTGCTGTATTACTCATTGATTGTGGTCTATCGGAAGCATGTGTGGCGACTGTGACAAACCCAAAATAAGATAAAGTAACGTGGTTTATTCTCACTCATACATACACACAGGTTGGTTCACACAGAACCCTTACTTGAAGCACAGACCCTGAACCTATCAGTTCTGGCTAACCAACAGACACCTGAACCTATCAGGTTGGTACTCTGACACACAGAAGTACCCTGTCTGACACACAGACTCCCACAACAGCTTCTTCTTCCCAGCTGCTGCTTCGTCACAACCCAGTGTCTCTCAGTGTCTGTCTCAGCATCTCCCAGTGTGTTTTTCTCACCCCACAGGCTTCACATTTATATACAGTACAGCCCCTCCTCCTGATGTCCCGCCTTCCACTCCCCATAGGATGGAACTTTCCCTCCAAACCCATGACAGACAGGTAACATCAGTGCTGTATGTAACAGCGACCACTCCTACTTTCAGGAATAATAAAACCACCCAAGAGTCTTGCGTGGCTCTCAGTAGGATGAGACCCTGCCCTTCCCTAAAAAGCGGAAGAAGGCAGACCTTCCTACCCCATTCATACACCTGACAAGCACGAACGCGTGACGGGGAGTAACCACGACTCATGGTCTCCCCAAGAAAGGATATTTTGGGGTCCTTGTTTCATCAGGACCTCATGAGGAGGCTCATGTGGGACAGCTCTCCCTGCCCCCTCCCCGAACGTACCGTGAGGAGCCTGGATCTGGGCCATCGTGGCCATGAAAGGGCTCTGGTTGAGATGATTCTGGACCTGTTGCATAATCGGCTGCTGGTAAGAAGGGTGGAGCTGCTGGGAGAACTGGACAGGCTGGAGGGTGGTGAGGCTGCTTCCCATGTTGTTGAGGACCGGGACGCTCTGGGTTTGGGTGGGGGCCAGACCTGGAAGACAGGGAGAACACCGGCCGCGGGAGAATAATCGCTCGGGTCTTCGCCCGGCTCGTTCCCCTCGGCAAAGCAGGCCGCGAATGTTCGTTTCAACAAACATTCTAAAATACTCCATGGCCAGAATCACACTACGTGCAATGGTTCTTGGCAAGTGTGAGGGACAATCGGAACACTTCCCCCCCCTTCGAAACCGGCAGGCTATTCTGCAATAAGCGGGGGGCCTCTGGGAGATGACATGGATTACATTTAGACATTTTAAAACTGGCTTTTAAAATGCTTTCAGAATTGTTTTTGATCTTGGCAGCTGTTTTAAAATACACTTTTAATGGATTTTTTAAAAAAAATGTGAGCATAATATAGTTTTAATTGTAAGCCACCTTTCGTCCCCAGTGGGGAAAAAGGAGGTGTATAAAGAATATAAAGTAAAGAGAGAAAGACCAACGTAGGTTAAAAAGCTTCCTAGAACTAGGGTGCTTTTGAGGAGAAAGGTGGGGTAAACGTATTTTGAATGAACGAAGGACATGGTCCTTCTGAATTCAAGCTTCAGAAGGGGAAATAAAAGGGCAGCCAAGGGCCAAAAAGGACCAGCCATGGATATCTTAGATCAATAGTCAAATCGTCTATCAGCCTACAAACACAAAGAAGCACTCCCAAATCTCCCATTCATCTCAATGGCTCTCGTGCAAAGAAAAGACCATCAAATATGAGTTGGTGTTTTGCTTTTTTTTTTGGCCATTCAGAACCACTTTCCCATTTTGGCACTCAGCCACTTGCTCTCCTGGGTGCATCATCGGCTTGCCTGTTTTGGAACGCCCGGCTTCTAGTGTTGCCCTCTGGTGCACTCAGAGCTAAAATCAGGCAGCTTCGGAAGGCCCACGAGTGTTTGTGGGCGAGCATAAAGGAAATGTGGTGGGAGATGGAGTCATTGGGTGATAAACATTTCCAGTGAAGATCAGAGGCTTGCTATCTCCCTTAGGAGCAAAGGAGGGCAGCTTGCCTGTTCCCCCCCCCTCATCATCCAGCGTGCCTCCTCACTTACCAATGACCAGGGTGGAGCCCCCCGTATTGGTGAATGCCGGCGTGAGAGATGAGGTGTCTCCGGGACCGATGGCCATGACCCCAGGGAGCGAGGCCATGATGAGGTTCTGGGTTTGTTGGCTCAGGACATGTGGGTTTTGCTCAAGGCTGTGGAGGGCTGTCAAGGTGCTCACTGGGGGAAGAGACCCCCCTGGGGCAGAAATCTGTACAGGAGGAAAGGTTTTTTTAAAAGCCAGTGAAAGCAAAGCATGCTGAATTATATGCCTCCCCATAGTGCTTAAAGGTTTATAATGTAATTACGCCAGGCTACAATGGCCCCTATGCCCCAATGTGATCCATAGGGCCCTTTCTAAGATTCTAAATTCAGGCTGGCTACCTAAGCCCACTGGGATTGAACTCAGGCCTTGAGCAGAGTCCTGACTGCAGGACTGCAGTTTAACTGCCCCATCAGAAGGCTTCACTGCATAGCATAGGCATCCTTCAGTCTTGAGAGACTATGGTAACATGCTCTGAATCGAGGAGTGTCCTCTCCAGAGCATGAAGCCCGGGTAAGGTAATATGGAGGATAGGCTGTTACCCAAGCAGCAGATCTCCCCTCTCCACATTGCTGAAATGGTCCAATGGAAAGGTAAGAGCCAATACAACTGGTTCCAGCAATGTCGCAGGAGTTGGCAGAACGACACATGCTGCCTTCGGGACTGCGCCATGAAGCTCAGCAACAAACATAGACGTCTGCAGTTTAACCACTGCGCCATGAAGCCCAGCAACAAACATAGATGATATTTACAGAGTGCTTCAGGGTGCTGACAGAGCTTCAGAAAGAGGGCATCTCTCGGCCATCTTCACAACAATTGTGGAAGATAGGCCAGTCGGTGGCCGGCCTGTTGCCACTGCCGAAGTTGAAGAAACAAGCAAGGATTTAAACCAGGGGCTCGGAGAATGCTTGCTGAGGTCCTTCCTTCCACAAGTCAACACAGAAATGGAGACAACTATGTGCGCTTTGGCCGGGATTATTGTCCTCTGTGTCCGTCCCTCATGGGTAAACACAAGCTTTTGAACCATTTTGTGCCCATCTCCACTATGCACTGCAAAGCATGCTTAACCCCCCCCCTCGTAAAATAGAACCCTCTCCACTATGCACTGCAAAGCATGCTTAAACCCCCCACCCCTGTAAAAATAGGAACCTAGATTGCTTAGGAGAAAGGGGAGTTTCTCTTCTGATGACGGGAAGAGTTGGTGCATGTCTCCCCTTCTCATGGATCCTCACCCCCACCGCCACACACCAGCCTTCTTCGGTGGTGGTTCGCTCACCAGCTTAGCATCCGAAGCTGAGCCCGACCCGGCTGAGCACAGGCCCGGAGACGAGGTGTGTTGCAGGATGGTCTGAGTGGTGACGATGGAACTGTTTCCCCCGTGCTGGTCGCTGTTGGAGGCATCTGTCTCGCTGACAGGCTGCTGGTTGTACCGCAGCCCGGAGTCAGAAAAGGCAAGGTTTTGTTGTTGTTGTTGTTGTTGCTGCTGTTGTTGCAAGGGTGATGGCTCTGGAACGGAGGAACAGAAAGTCAGAGTTGTTGCTGCTGCTGCTGCTGCTGCAAGGGTGATGGTTCTGGAACGGAGGAACAGAAAGTCAGGCCTTTGCTCATTGCTTGTGTCCCCTGCCGAGAGACCCTTGACCCCGCCAACTAAGGAGAACTTCATTAGCCGCCTTGGAAAAGATCTGATTATTAAGAGACTTTGCCCCCTTTTTAAAAAAAGAGTGGTTTTTTTGGGGGGGCATTGGAAGCTGCTAACTCCGATGCCACTGGGGCGAAAGGAAGTGCACCCACACCAGGTTTCCGTTCCAACTTTAAAAGATCTAACTATTTGGGCTTGTGATTCAGGACCATGGAGAGCTCCTACAAAGGCTGAACTGAATCTGGAGATGCCCAGACCTTTGGTGGAGCCAATTCAGTTCGGTTTTGGGGTGGCAATCCCTTCTCCAGCCCCGTAGGCCCACCCATCACCAGCTCCAGATTCGGCAGCCAACTTGCTTGATGCTTCCCCCCCCCTTCCTCAGGCCACTCACCGTGGACTTTACCCGGGGAGAGAGAGGGTGCCGGCTGGAGTGAGGAAGCCGCGTGGGAGGCCAGAGGGGGAGCGGAGCCCGGCTGAGGTCCGCTGTAGCTGTCCATGGCCAGCTTGTGGCGGAAAGCCTCCTCCTTCCGGCGGTTGGCGAACCAGTTGTAAACTCTCACTTCAGTCACCAGGTTGGAGCCCAGCCCTTGGGCCTGAGAAGGGGACACCCCACGTTGGATGCATTCTGCCCTGCCAGAGAAGGCCACGGATCTGTCAGTCGGGGCGGCCAAGCCAGACAGGGAACCCACTCAAACCGGAGGGAAAGGGACTACTGGCCAGGGTGCCACTGCGGCCACCAGGGAGTGACAGGCATCAACAGGCAGGGCTCAGAGAAGGGGTCCTCCGTGTAGAGCCACGGCGGCCAGTCAGGGCTGGTGAGGTGGAACGATGTTCTAAGCCAAAGGCTGCCGCCTTCCTGCATTTATGGGGAAGTTGCTTTCTGCTCACGGCTGTCTTGCAGAATGTGTGGGTGCAGAATAGCAGTGTGCACCCGGTATGGGGCTAAGACCACAGAGGAGCCCCATGCCCCACAGCCAGCTCAGCTGGAACCCTGGGCAAGAGAGCGTGCAGGCCAGAACATTCTGCAAGGCGCAGGGTTCTCCCCTCCCCCCGGTCCCAGCTCTAAAAGTAGAAAGTGAAGGTTTGGACGGAGTCATTTGATAGGACTCTCTAGTGCAAAAGGCAGCTGGCTGGAGAGCTCAGCAGTTTAGGTCTCTGGTTGCAGAGCCAGAGGTTGTGAGTTCGATTCCCCTGCTGGGCCTCCCAGGGAAAGAGCCAGCCTAGGTGGCCTCGGGCCAGCTCTGCACAGTCCCAAAGGAAGGGGAAGGCAAGCCACTTCTGAATATTCTCAACCTGGGAAACCCTGAAAAAGGTCACCCTAATTCAGAATTGACTTGACGGCCCACCATCATCATCATCATGACAAAAGTGCCTTAGGAGCCAGTTCTCTCTCTCAGGCTGGATTGCTTCCTGTTGATGCATTTTTTAGCATCCTCCTCAATCTAAGTCTTATTGTTTGGGACGGATATAGGTTGAAAGAGAGAGAGAGAGAAGGGGAGAAGGCTATTGAGTAATGTCGTTAGTGGTCGCGGCGTTGATTTGGCCGTGTCACCAGCAGTTACTTTCAAAAGTAACTTCTGAGATGATTTTTTTGAGACACAAGGATTTCCATCAGTTTCCCCCTAATGTTTTTTATTGAGAGGCAAGGAGAAGCATTCAGGGCCACAATCCAACATCAGTGCCAGAATGTGGCTACTGTCTTTTCCCCCACCTGCTAGGCACGACAATGCCACGCAGCAGCAACACGCAAGGCAAAGAAAGAACTCCTTGCGGGGAGAATCCACAAGAGAAACCATGCTTAACGAGCAACCTGCCTAACGAGCGTTCCAAGCTCAGGTTCAAAGTTCTCCGACAGGTGAAACCAGAAGGCAACCGTCCGCCCACACCCCACTGCTGCTGCCTACCCAAGGAGGGTCTGGCAGGTTCCTCAGCCCCCCTCCCCTGCTCTGCTCTGGGGACCCACCCGCCGCCCGTCACCTGTTGCATTCTTCCACCAGCGCTTCCCGCTCCTCCTTGCTGGGGTTCTTCTGCCGCTCGTACGCCTGGAACAGGATCTGCTGGGAGGCTGGGCCCCACTTGAAGCGGTTCCTTCGGCCTTTCTTGGTCGGGAGCTCCTCTCCCATGGGGTCCTCCACCAAAATGCCTTGGCCGGCATGGGTGAATTCTGGAAGCAGAAAAGGGATGGGGTGCAAGGTTATCCTTGGTCTCCCAGGGTGGGGTGGAGTTTCGTTTGCAACCTCGCATGCTGCCCGTAGTTTGTATGACTGGGAGGGACTTTTTCCGGGCTTGGGGTGATTGTCTGTCGGTCCAGCCCTAAACAATCATTCCATCCAGCCTTTGATTTCAAAGACAGGCCCATCATCTCTGTTGAGTGTTTCTTTCCCGAGTCGGTGTCAGTTGTTTCTTTTGCTGTTGATCTGTTCAGTTGGTTGCCAAGATACTGTATGTGCAGTAAAGAAAGCAGCATAGGCAAACCTGTAATTTCAAGCAACGATGAGTAAAGAAATGTTTATATTCTTTCTCCTGCAAATGCCTGAGAGTGAGACTTTAAGTGCCAGTTAATGAGAAAGGAGTGGACCCTGGGGAACTTATAGGTATTCTCCTCTCTGTACTTCTACTGTGTAGCAAAACAGAATTTTACCAGAAATTCAAAACTTTATAACAGAATGGGGCAATTAAAGTATCATACATGTTGCAACCCAGGTGATTTGTTTTCAAACAGAATTTTACCAGAAATTCAAAACTTCATAATGGAATGAGGCAATAAAAGTGTCATACATCTTGCAACCCAGGTGATTTTTTTTTAAGGGATGGGGTGCAAGGTTATCCTTGGTCTCCCAGGGTGGGGTGGAGTTTCGTTTGCAACCTCGCATGCTGCCCGTAGTTTGTATGACTGGGGGGGACTTTTTCCAGGCTTGGGGTGATTGTCTGTCGGTCCAGCCCTAAACAATCATTCCATCCAGCCTTTGATTTCAAAGACAGGCCCATCATCTCTGCTGAGTGTTTCTTTCCCGAGTCGGTGTCAGTTGTTTCTTTTGCTGTTGATCTGTTCAGTTGGTTGCCAAGATACTGTATGTGCAGTAAAGAAAGCAGCATAGGCAAGCCTGTAATTTCAAGCAACGGTGAGTAAAGAAATGTTTATATTCTTTCTCCTGCAAATGCCTGAGAGTGAGACTTTAAGTGCCAGTTAATGAGAAAGGAGTGGACCCTGGGGAACTTATAGGTATTCTCCTCTCTGTACTTCTACTGTGTAGCAAAACAGAATTTTACCAGAAATTCAAAACTTTATAACAGAATGGGGCAATTAAAGTATCATACATGTTGCAACCCAGGTGATTTGTTTTCTGCTGCGGAGAAAAATAACTTGGGGAAGCGTGTTTTACATGTGCTTAGTGCAGAATCATCTCTGCACTTGAGAAATGTTTAAAATTAATGTTGGCGACTTCCACCCTTTGGTTACTATAGTTTAAAGTAGTATTGTTTTGTTTTAGCAGTTAAAATATTTACTATCTGCCCTCTATCTGACGATTTTAGAGTAGCTCAGAAGCCATAAAACACCACCAAACTATTTTAAACAACATAAACAATTTAGTTTAGAACTGTTTTGCCTGCTGAGCTCTAAACAACCATCCAGAACAGTTCAATAACTTTAAAACGGTTCAGAGTTCAAAGCCATTTGAAGCCGTGTATGGTGACTACGGCAAAACCTAGCCAGGTTATGATCCCTGAGCCCTCAAGGCTTCACTGAGCAGCTAGATTTTGACTCGGCACTGAAATGAAGACCATGCGGGTGCCCATCAGGCATCTGCAGAAGGGATTCAGAATGCCCTAGCAAAGAAGTTTATTCCCTGCTTGTCCTCTCACTGCAAAGTTTGGAGGAATGATTTTTGTGGACTACAAAACCACAGATGGACTGTGCTGGTTGGAAAACCCTGGGAATTATCCTCTCCAAACAAGCTTCCTTCCAACAGTATGAAAAAATTAATTTTACGAGCGATAACTCCCAGGGTTTATCATTCATAAAATTAACTTTTTCATGCTGTTGGAAGGAAGCCTGTGTGGATCGGATAATTCAGGTAAAGAAACCATGGACACCCTTCCTTAGGAACAGGGAATGTATGCATTTGCCCCTGTAGCCCCTGTGAAATATTGGTTCAGCCTAAAGGGGTGGGGCTAAGAAAGAGCAGGGATGTGAGCACACCCCTGTGAAATATTGGTTCAGCCTAAAGAGGCGGGACTAAGAAAGAGCAGGGATGTGAGCACACTGTTTGAATCAGAAAGAGCAGGAGAACTGAAGAGGTCGAAGCTGCTGTTCTCACTTGGTCTGCTAAGACCCTTGCCAACTTGGTCTGGGTAGAAGTCTTATATGTTTGTACTGAAGGGGTGAATCCACATAGTGAATTCATTAATTGCATACAATAGAACTGATATTTTATTTTCAGGTTTTGAAGGTTCCGTGTGTGGAGCTGATTCTTCCATGCCCTGGACACCCAACCCAGTTGAGGGAATTGTCTTGAACTTTTTTATCTGAATTTGAATTCAAAGAGACACTTGAATGTCACAGCTCTACAAGCGCCTTCTGTCTGGCAGCTGTAGGAGCATTTTGTCGTAGTTGCTGTTGCTTTTGTTGTCTGTTATATAAATGCCAAAGAAGAGGCTCTTTTGGTGAGATTGTGTTTTCAAGGCTCATCAGCAGATACCTAAGTAAGCAAACGGAACCCTTGCAATGTTGCACAGCAGCGCTTAGCTTGTCCGACTGTTGGTGCGCAGGGAGGAAAGCCTCCCAGGCCACCCCTGCTGTGTTGTGCCCAGGGGCGGTGGGGGTAAGAAGGAGCCGCCGGTTGCTGTACTTACGCTGGGCCACCTCTCGCTGCTTGCGGACGTACCAAGTGTAGAGGGCCGCCCTCTTCTGGGTCTTCATGGGGGTGCCCTTGTTGAGGTGCTGCGAGAGGTGGGACTGGTTTAAGCCGGTGGTGTCCACCACCTCCCGCTGGGGGATGTTGTGTTGCTGGAGGTAGGACTTCACCATCTTGGCCACCCTCCAGGGGTCCTCTCTGGAAGGGACAGAAACACACATTCAGCAGTGAGTGAGAGGGAGAAAGACAGGCTCCCTCTCATTCCAAGGAATGTCACCACCGATTTATCGTCATCTCCCATTTACTATTTATTTTATTTATTGTTATTTGTTTAAAATATTTTTTGCCACACCTTTCTCCTACAAAGGACCCAAGAAAATAATTTTTTTTAAAAAAACCAACAGTATAAGCTAAAAACAGTCCGTTATTAAAGTATTAAAAAGGAATTGAACTAATATGTTAAAAACCTGTAGAAAAAAAGATATAGTTTAAAAAAGCAATAAAAAACAACAGAAATAGAGCAGGCTTGTTATAAGCCCCCTGCCTCGCCCGTAGATAGCCAGTCTCTGAGGGACAGCTTGCTTGAAGAGAAAGGTCTTCTTTGCCTGCTTGTGGAAGGACAGCCAAGAGGGGGCCAGCCTGGCTTCCAGTGGGAGGGAGTTCCACAGGCTGGGAGCAGCCACCGAGAAGGCTCTCCTCTCCCGTGTCCCCACCAAAGGCATCATTTTGAGGAGTGAGCCCCGTAGAAGTGGTAGGAAGGGATATGTTTCAATGTGCTTTTGTATACCAAGGAGGATCTTGCTGGAGTGGCTGCAAATCGGCTACCGTGGTTTGGGACAGAGATCCCTGGTGTACAAGCGCAGACTGAAGAAAATGCAGGCACTCAGGCTGTGGAAGCGGCTACATGAAACGTTGTCCATAGGACTACATCCCGGCTCATTTGGGGTTGCCACGATTATTTTGAGGGGTGCTCCTGGAGCAACCACATACGGTCCTGGCCGTCTTTTCTGACCCTGGAGTGGGATGAAATCAGACTGCAGGATGCCTTGGCTAGCCCAAGTGAAGACGGGGAGGAGCGGATAATGAGGATAAAATGCCACAAGGTCGATATGGTGGAACAACAAGAAACCAAAATATTAAGATCCTTAACTCCTGTACAGCCATTGCCTTCCACCTTCTTACATGCAGCTTGGGAATAGAGGTGGGGGAGCTCGTACCTCAGAATGTCAGGGTGCGAACCCTCCAAGCTCAGACCGCAAGCCAACACCCTTATAGTTTTACCTCTTGCACGAAGGGGATTATTGTGAATAACTTAGTCCCTGATGCCTTATCAATGGTGCTGGCCCTGGCAGGTTTCTTTGGCCATGCAGGCTTCCCACTAGACCTCAGGCAG